TTCTTCCTTTCTGACATGAATTTTCTTTTTATTTGGCTTTCAGTGGTTATTTGATCATGTACATCACTAAACGTCTCCAAGGCCTATCAGCTACTGCATCGGTTCAGTTCTGTTAGCTGTGATTAACAATTAATGGTGCTTCGACGTTTGAAAATTAATTTTTCTTTATGGTGATTCTTTAAAAATAAAAAAGGCGATGTGATGAAAGCATGATTCAGATCAACCAATCTCTCATTTAAAAAGGCAATAGTGTTAACCACAATGTGTGCATTTACTCATCTTGAGATATCGTTTTAGAACTCACACCACAAAACCAACTTCCTTTCCTGAAACAGCAGCCTCAGTTTTAATTAGTGAAATGTATTTAGCAAAGTTTAACTTAAAGCTAACAAAAGGCCGACTATAAGCTAAAAGTTGCAAAATACCAGCAAGAAGCTAAAGTATTTTGCAAAATCTAAAAGTAAAAGAATCGCTAAAAGCTACATGGACTAGCTAAAGGCTAAAAGTAACAGCAGGGTACCTAAAAACTAACAGAAAAGGGTAGCCCAAAGCTAAAAGCAGCAAAAATGATAGCTAAAAGCTAAAAGTGGCAAAAGGCTTCCCAAAAGCTAAAAATAATAATAAAAATAGTACAAACAAGCAAAATGCTCAAGTGTCAAAAGGCTAGCCAAAAGCTAAAAGTAGCAGAATGGTAACTAAGAACTACAAAATCAGCTGTAATATAGAGTAAGATAACTTTTGTGTTTGCTAAGGTCACTTAGCTGCAGTGTCCATCATTTCCTTCACCCTTAATTTAGACAGACAAATCACATGAGCCTCCAAGACTCATTTACAAGCGAGATCTGTTTAGACAGACAAAAAAGTAGCGCAAGTGAACACGTAGGATTTGGAGGCAAAAAACAAAATTCCTATCAAATTGTTTCTTCTTAGCTAAGAAGAAAGACCCTGATAATGAAAAAAACACCCAGCACATACAAGCACATGGTGACATAGACATTCCACAGGGGGGTGGGGGGGTTGAGACGACAAGGACGGTAAGAGTGTCCAAGGACACTCCCGGAGGCGCTATAGGAGTTTTGATAAGGATGGAATAATTCATTCATTCAACCTTTATTTAGACAGGTAAATCCCATTGAGCCTCGAGGACTCATTTACCAGAGAGACCTGAGTCAGTCAGCCAGTTCTCTCCAGTGAGATCTGTAAACATTCTCGAGGGGTGTCGGGGAATAGCCAAGGACAACACCAAGAGTCCTAAAATGATGACACAAAGTTTTTTTAGCTGGTTCCCTCAGGTTGATCAGTGGACTTCCTTGGTGGGAGGGAGGGGGCAGAGCGTCAGATTGCAGAGCCTCAAGGCGAATTGAGATAAGGTGGCCTGCAAGGCCAGCCGAGGGAGCCAAATTCAGATAAACAACATTTGTTTTTAAGGCAGGCAGAATTTTACTGAAATATATCTGCCTCGAGTCTTTTTTGGTCTTGTAGATTCTGAAAGGTCCAAATTAAGTGGACACACTGCTGATCTGTGCCGAGAGTATTCCCTGAGATTTGATCCATCCTGCCAGAGAGTCCTAGGGGCCGCAAATGTCCTGCGATTCTCACAAATCACATCCAATTTGCAATGATTGTCTGTTGTTGTTGTTGTTGTTTCCCACTGTTGTCCTCACTCTTTGTTAAAATTCAGGTCTCTCTTGTAAATACGAGCCCCCGAGGCTCAATGGGACTAACCTGTATAAATTAAGGTTGAATGAATGATCCAGTCCGCTAAGTATCTTGAATGACATTGACAAGGCAGCTGTGGATGAGTGGTTAGAACAGTTGTCCCCCAATGCGAGAGTTGGAGGTTCGATTCCACCAGCAGTCACATGTCCCTGGGGAAGACACTGAACCCCTCATTGCCTCCGATGTGTGTCCCATCATTGTATGAATGTGATAAAGCGCTGATTATTCTAGTATGCTGTATGAATGGGTAAATGAGGGTTGTGAAGAGCGTTGAGTATTTTGATAAGATAGAAATGTGCTATATACCAGTAAGTACAGTCCATTTACCATTTAAAAGTAGAATGTTAAATCTGCATTCAGTTTAATTACTGAGACTCTAAACAACACACTCATGTTCAACATGTTCTTTCTTACAGTAGTCATTCAGCAGGGACGGTGCTCCCAAAGTCATCCGTGGCTTCCCCTGCACACTCACACTGGCTTCACTCACAGCAGCAAACGGCTGCAAATCTTTATTTATCTCGTCAGAATCTGCAACAGGAAAATATCATAAGCATAAAAAACAATGTTTGCATCATTGAATGTCGTGTTCACTCATCTACAGAAACTTAAAGTCATTTTCATGGATTACTGTTGTGGAAATGCTAAACATTTTTGCAGATTTGCTGCAACTATGCAATCCACTAATAAACAATTAGCAAAGTAAAAATTCTTAAAAACTCCTCAAAGTTCATAAATGCACCCTTTATTCTGTTTTCTGCTCTGAGGCTGATATGAATCACACTGTGTGTGACTTACTTTCAAACAGAAACTGATGCAGCTATGGTTTCATGAGATGAAATCAGGCAGTATCACTTTGTGTATTACTAATATATGCATGTGTGTGTGCCTGTTAGTAAAATATCTCATCAACCAATGGCTGGATTTGAATGTATATCTTAGAAAGTAATCAATGGATTGACATCTACAACTAATAAACATTTGAAGTCAGTATCATTCAAGATGGACACTGCAGCTAAGTGACCTTAGCAAACACAAAAGTAGCCTTATCTTCCTCTAGGTAATGTTTATGTTGTAGTAGCTGAGTGTCATCCTGAAAACATTCTCTGAGCATTAGCACGTCTTGCAAGTCGTTGCTGCGTCCAGCTTCAGTTAAAACTGTTATTAAGAAGCAGCGGGCGATATGCATTTCTTCAAGCAATTCTAGGCGTTTTATTCCCTCATTCATGTTTTACCAGGTTGTTGTGAACTCCCATCAGCTTGAACTGCTGCTCTCCAGACCCAATCACCTCTCTGTGAGACAGAAATCACTTTACTTTGGACTTTTAGAAAATATTTTACTCATTTTGTGGCAGAATCGGATCATTTTAGGGTATTTAGTATAATCGAAACACCAAAAGACACAGTATTTTAAATTTTAAAAAGGCCTGAAATGCTTGTTTCTGTTTCCCCTCAAACAAACCTGGTTGTGGAGCTTAGCGATGCCAGAACATGCTCTGGTTCGGATGGGTTGTGGTGGATGTGATGACAGAACTCGGTGACTGCAGCGTCCCTCCAGTGATGCCTCTGTTTCAGCTACACAATCACAGAAAACGTAAAATCACATTAAATCATTTACTGAGTTTTTTTTTTTTTAACTTTGTGAAGAAATTTAAACAGTTGTGCAATTGTTTGTAGACTTGTATACAGAAATCAATTGTCAAAATCAAGTCATAACTGAGTCATTTGTTGACACAAGGGTTTTTACAGTTACATGTTTCTGCAACATGTGTGTGCACAGCTGTGCCTCTGCAGTGTACAGGGGGTGCTGGTTAATGCTATAACATGTTTTGAAGACATGCAAAGCACTGAGATGTATTTGTTACCCGCCAAACAGAGGTCTGTGTATTCATTGTCTGTCTGTTAGCAAAATAACTCATGAACCATTGGATGGATTTAATGATACTCTCAGAAAGTAGCAACGGGACATACAGCTACAACTGATTAACTCCTGGAAACAACCTAACTCAAGATGGTCGCTGCAGCTGTTAAACAATGGACCAGTTTGTGTTTACGCTTTAAAATTGTTTAATATTTCATCTTTGTGCGATTTCATTAGCAACAACTGTATGAGTGTGAAGCTGAAAAGTTTGAGAACGTCTCATCTAGTATGCACTGTTTGTTATTATTTTTTATATCATAATAACCAGAAAAAAGTACTTTGCAACAGTGCGTTGTACAACACTCTACAATATTGTTATGTGCTGCTGACTATCCATGTTGCTGATTTATTGCACGCTGCTGTGTTCATTCGTCCTCATCTGCTCACACAGACTCATGTTCGTGCTGCTGTTGTTCAGCGTATTGTTTTTGTTCTACTAGTGCTTAGAGTATAGTTTAGCATATTTCTTAGTTCATATCTTAGATCTTATTACTGCTTTTCTTTACAAGTTATACTTTTGTTGGATGTAACTTGGACCCTGTGTACACAATTTTGTTCCACATGTACCACATGTGGTGCGAATGATAAATAAACGTTGACTTTGAATATATTGGCTTTTCATAAAGAAAGTTGTATATTTCTTTATGTTGTCAAATGTTAAATATATCTAAATATATCTGAAGGTGCACAAAAAAAGGAAAAACAGAGAAACAAACTATAAGATGGTGATGACATTACAATGACAAACAAAACAACCTAGGCTAACTATATATTTATTTTAATCCTTTAATTTCATTTTTTAAATCAGTTTAAAGCTGTGATTTCCGAGCCAACTGATTAGTTCAATTAGAGGGTCTTGCACTGTATCTATAAAGGCCAATACCTTGACAGTTCTGCGGGATTTCATGCGTTTCTTGGTGTTTTCTCGGTGAGAACTCCAGCCTCTGGCAGACAGAACCGAGCTCAAAGGTTGGAGCACACCGCCCTCTGGTGGACAGCGGCGTACTGGCAGCAGGACCGATCCGCCGCCGGAAGCGTTTGTACGTGACGTCATGATCCTCGTTTTCTTCCTGAAAAAAAAAAAAAAAAAGTTAGTGATAAAACTTGACATCGCGCGTAAATGTTATACTTTGGGAAATAATACTTTTGTTGCATAACATTTTATTACAAATGCATTGTCAAATACTGCTTGACTTTCCGCGCATTTGACAAGTGAGGCTACCTTTTTTTTTTTTTTTTTTAGAGATTACTGTATTTAATTGTATCCCCCAATAAACTAATTTATCTACTGCAGTGATAATTTGGTGTCGTTTTTTGTTTTATTTTGAAGGCAGGGTGTTTCCGGTTTATCGCGAGCTTAGTTTGTTTTATTTTGAAGGTAAAGTGCTTCCTGTTAGCTTATGGCTAGCTTCACAGTTTTCTTCTCCGGTCCGCCGGGGTGGCTCCAACTCCAGTCACTGTTCTTTTTTTGTTTTTTTTCCTCCAAGATGGAGGCTTTAGGAGGCTATCCCACCAGGTCCTCCGGCCCCAAAGCTAAAAGGTTGCGGGTTCTGCTGAGCATGACGGTCGGTGTGGGCTGTTTGTTCCTCCTGCAGACCCAGCTGGTGAGACCCAGAAAACCCGAGGACTTTTATTCCTTTGAGGTGAAAGACGCGAAGGGGAAGACGGTTTCCCTGGAGAAGTACCGAGGGAAAGTATGTCCACATCATCACCAGTCGTTTTATTTTCGTTCACAACAAATCTGTGCAAACTTCAGCTGGGCGCGTGCGTCGCTCCTACGTGAAGTCTCGCTAATGAAGTTTTATAACAGAGTTTTGTTTTCCTCCTGCTCAGGCATCTTTGGTTGTAAACGTGGCGAGTCGCTGCGAGCACACGGAGTCGAACTACAGGTCTCTGCAGGAGCTCCACCGGGAGCTGGGCACGTCTCACTTCAACGTGCTGGCCTTCCCCTGTGGACAGTTCGGGGACACGGAGCCCGGGTTCAGCCGGGACATCGAGGCGTTCGCGAAGTCCACCTACAGCGTCACCTTCCCCTTCTTCAGCAAGATCAAAATCCTGGGCTCAGAGGCTGAACCTGCCTTCAGGTTCCTCACAGGTTGGCACAGACACCCCCCTCTGTAACCTCACCCAACCCCCTCCAGGACAGAACTGTCAGTTCATTTTTAATTTAATTCAACCTTTATTTATACAGGTAGTCTCACTGAGTCACGAGGACTCATTTTCAAGAGAGACCTGTTTGGGAGCAGATGGTGGGGGTTAAGAGCCTTGCTCAAGGGCCCAGAGTGGGGCAAATGAGGGTGGAGGCAGGTGTGGGTGCTTCACCTTTTCCACCAACATTTTGATGTTGTTGGTCTGGGAAGTCGAACTGGCGACCTTCCGAACACGGGCCCACCTTCTCTAACCTCTTCGCCACCACTCCCCCAAGATGAATGATAACTGCACTTTATAGAGCCGTTTTAACATCAGCTTAAAAACCAACAATGGCTAGTGTTCTGCTTCTTTTAGCTCGTGTTCTGCTTCTTTTAGCTTGTAGCTAATGTTCTGTTTCTTTTAACTTGTCTTCTGCATTTTTTAGCTTGTAGCTAATGATCTTCTTCTTTTAGCTTGTAGCTAATGTTCTGCTTCTTTTAACTTGTAGCT